AAATAATTTCTGCACTGAAGTTCAGTTTCCCATGGAACCCCCTATGTTAAAATTCGTCGAGTTTTCATGGTTTCACAATGGGTTGAATGTTACGGCCAAAGCCGTCGTTTAAACATTTTCGTAATTGTGTATAGATGTTGCTGCAACATGTTGAATTTGACGTGTTTCGCCTGTGGTTTCACTACACATTTGAAATTAAGCTTTGAAATAAAGATAAATATGAAGATGAAGAAATAAATGATAACGATGAAGTAAAAAAAAAGAAGACAAAAGTGAACATAAAGACGAAAATGGAGACAATGACAGATACATAAGAATTAGGGTAACTGAAAGGGTAAGAACATTTCTTGAATTTATGAAGTGAACTTCTTTAGCGGCAGTTTGTTGGTTGGGAGTAAATTGTCAAATTCAAGGGGAATAATGCACATGGAAATGGTTCTCTGCGGTTTAGCGGTTTGAGAATAAAAACAAAAACAAAGATGCCTATAGGTACAGACAAAAACGAAGATCAAAGTAAATCTAAACACTTTAAGGTAAAGGTGAAGAGGAATATGCAAAAATAAAGATAAATATGAAGAAAAGGATGAGGATAAAGATCGATATTGTTATCGATATAAAACTCGATATTTTTATCGATATAACAATCGATATTGCTATCGATAAAATAATCGCTATTGTTATCGATACTGTTATTGACTAAATAACCGCTATTGTAATCGATATGATAATCAATATAATAATCGATATTGTTATCGATACAATAATGGATATTGTTATCGGTATAATAATCGATTAAATAATTGATTTTGTTATCGATTTAGTCATTTATATTGTTAACGATATGTACAATAATCGATACTGATGATTGTTATATTTATCGATGAATTCATCGATTTTGTAATCGATGTATTTTTCTATATGCTTATGGATATTGTTATCGGTATTTTTATCGACACAGTTATCAACAGGGTTATCGATATACAGTATATTTTGCTTAGCTGCACATCCTTCTTTGCACGAAAAACTTGTGCACTTAACCGAAAAGGCACTTAAGCGAATTTTCTTTACTACTTCAATGAGGAAGGTATCCAAATTCCTATGAAACCAAATAATAGAGAAGCACTTACCACGTAGAAATTACTGCAAGCGAAATTTTTACCGAATAGTATCTAATTATCTATATAACTACATACATTTATAGCCATTTTCGTTGTTCTGCGAGGTGAACAAAATAAATAAAAAGTTGTAAAATTAGGTAATTGTAGGGCCAGTGCAGGTAAACGTAATACTTTCTTTGATAATTGATACTAGTCGCACAATTTTTAAGGCAGGTATCGCCAATGTGCAGGTATGCTAAATGCATCTATCGGAGCAGTTTCCTTATAAATGTTAAAAATAATGCCTCTGATACTTGGGGTAGTTCTAATTTAATAGAGCCAAAGCAATTCTGAGGTGAACGAATCTATAATACATTTTATCACATGATATGAAGAGACATCACATGATATTACATCACATAATATGTGATAAGCATAGAGGCAGCAAAGCAAAATATACTGTACTAATCGGAACATGGAATGTGATCACATTACATTACATCACATCACATTTTATCACATGATATGAAGAGACATCACATGATATTACATCACATAATATGATATCACATCACACGATATCACGTGACATGACATTATATGATATGACATCAATTGTATGGCATGACATCACATGACTTGACATCACATGATATGACATGGCATTACGTGACGTGGCATCACATGATATGACATCATATGGTATGACATCATATGATATGACATCAGAGGATATCACAACACATGACATGACATCCTATCACATCACAAAAAATCACGTCACATCTTATCACGTCATCGCACCTCATCTCACAAAAAAAGGATGTAAACAAAGATGTGAAAGACAAAAACAAAGATGAAGGCCAAGGTAAAGTTACCGATTTCAAAACCAAAAACACCGGTGGAAAGGTAATTTTCTTTAGATGAGGAGAGTTTTTATAGTTTCGAAATCGGTTGAAAATCGTCGTTTAAAAATTTCCATATTTGTGTATGGTTGTTTTTGCAACCTATTCAATTTAAGCTGTTACGCATTAATAAATAAATATGAAGATGAAGAAATAAGTGATTACAATGAAGACAAAAAAGGCAAAAGTGAAGATAAAGACGAAAATTGAGATAAAGGCGAAAATGGAGACAATGAAAAATACATAAGAATTAGGTTAACAGAGTTGAAATTTTCCGATAGGAATCGAAATAAAATCAGCCATAAAGGTTACTGAAATTTATGGAATCATCGTAGTTTATACTTATCGAAATTTATCCATGCTTATTAAATTATCGCAACGTATCGAATTATTCCAACTGATCAATGTTTACTGAGTTGTCGAAATTTATAGACACAGAAACTTAGTTGTCCAAATTTACGGATAGTTATCGAGCTATAAAAACGTGTGGGATTAACGAAATTTGTCAAGTTAAAGAATTGTATCAAGTTATCGATATTTATTGAATTATCATTATTTATAGACTTAACGAAATTTATCGAGGTGTCGTAATGCATGGAGTTTTTTCAACTTACAGAGTTATCGATAATTATTGATCTACTGAAATTGGTTGGTTCAACGAAGCGAAGTTTATGGAATTTTCAAAATATATCGACCTAACGAAATTTCAATGTTATATAAGCTTATCGATTTATCATTACTTATCGAATTTCATCGTCTTAACAGAGTGTAACGAGTTATCAAAATGTTTAGATAGCTTTCGAAAAATGTGTAAAAATTTATAAAGGTATCCAAAGTTTTTACATTTTTGAGTTATCGAAATTTATCGAGCCATCGAATTTCACAGTTATCGAAATTGGTAGAGTTAACGAATTTTGTTGTATAAGTTTTGCTACGTGTTAAGTTAAAAAACCTCTCCAAGGCTTTTAAAACTAGAAAAACTGTCGAATTTCGACAGTTACTGGCACTCTAGTTTTTATAAATGTTTTACAAAGTTTAAAATTGCAATTTACATTTTTTTTAGATAGTAAGCTATATTTTCATACAAAAATAATAAACACTTTTTTAAACAAAGAAAAGTAGACAAAACTTGCTAAAATGTATTTTCCATAGTTACATTCTCGCCACCGTATATATTGTGTATACATTCTTGCGATCATTTTTCAAGTATTTTTCTCCTTGTTTTGTTTTAAATAAAACTGTATTAAAAGATGTGTTTTTATTCAAAAACCAAATTGTATGCACGGATTCGATGCTTTAGAAATGTCCCAATTTTTGACCACAGATATCTGATCTGATATAATTGTTCTCCCGAAACCGTCAAAGCTTTCTCATGTTTTGTTAACGTAGTTGACGTTTATGATCCATATAAAAATCATTCTCGAACAGGGATTTGTAAAATTTGGCTTTTGTTCGTCATTAGATCCCTAAGTAGCGCATGTTGGCTCGTTCGCGTGGCCTTACTTCGTCTTGTCCTCGTTCATTGCTAGACCAATCCGTTTTCTATCATTTTACCTATGAAGTACCTACATATATGTATATCAAGGCCAGAGATTTCAATATCGTCTGCACACGCCGGCAGTATCTTACATTAATTTGCAGTTGCCATTCAGTTTGGCAAAAATGAGTTATACGTATGGAAAAGAAAACAAAGACATGTTTTGAAGAACAAATTCAGAGTATAGGTGGTCACCTTCACTTATAGATATATGTATACTGATAAGCCGTTATGGAATTGGTGCAGTGGTGAATAAAGTGAACGTATTCTGCATGCGTTTGATATAAAAAAAGATTTTCATAATCTAAGATATGGTATTTTTGTCGATGAAGAATTATTGGTTATATCATGCTGCAAATTATGTAAAGATTTCGTGCTGAAATCTTCTGTAGTTTTCGCGTTAAAGAAGAAAATGCATCTCCATTTTTTATTCGTTTTTTGTTGCAAATTGAAAACTTTAAACGCGTCCTTTGCATTCAGAATTAAGGCGGCCTTTCCATAAATGAGCAATATGTACTATGTATGCCTATTAGGGTGGTCAAAAAATACACGTGCGAAAGTAAAGTCGGAAGTTTTATGCTCTCATCCCTAGGTTTGATCTATACCGAAAAAATACAACCTTATTTTCTCATTTTGAAATCAGAAAATATTTAGAGGTCGCTCAAAGCGCCTAAAGTTTTCCATGTATTTTATATGGGGGAAACCACTTTTCGTAGGAATGGTATAGAATAGTTAAAAATAAATATTTTTCTACCGGAAAACTGTTTTTCTGCAGGAGATTCACAGTAATAATACGCAATTGTTTATTTAACCATTTTTTCGTTGCAACTAAAAATGATAGGTCCGCCAAAAGCCCCGAAAAATGCAATGGGGCGACCAATAAAAAATCGTTAATATTAAAAAAATGGTTAAATAGACAATTGGGTATTATTATTGAAAGTCTCCTGAAGAGAAGCAGGGTTTTCCTATCGAAAAATATTGACTTTCAAGAATTCTCTACCATTTCTACGAAAAAATTTATTTTTCCCATATAAAAATACACGGAAAACTTTGAGCGCTTTGAGCGACCTCTAAATATTTTTTGATTTCAAAATAAAAAAATAAGGGGTCTACTTTTCGATATAGAACAATCCCTGGGGGGTGAGAGCAATACAATTCCGACTTTACTGTTTTTGGACCACCCTCATGCCTATACATATAAATATGAACTGTGGCGTATTGGTAAGCAGTGCGCACTTCCACTCCGCCGCGCCTAGGTTCAAGCCCTGGTCATCTCAAATAATGTTTTTCTTAACAGCGGTCGCTCCTCGGCAGGCAATGACAAACCTCCGAGTGTATTTATGCCATGAAAAACAGCTTCTCATAAAAATACAATCGCCGTTCGGAGTCGGCATAAAACTGCAGGTCCCTCCCCTTTGTGCGACAATATCAAATCGGAGGAGAAGCTCGGCCAAACACTAAGATATTTATGTGTAAGCGTCAATCTGTTATTATTATACGTACGTTCATAAATATATATGTATATAAGTTTATCTAATAACTAGAATTGTTTACGTACCGTTAAGAAAACAAGCATTGTTCAATATTTGTGTCGACGAAGTGGACATGCATTTTTAGCTTAAGTTTATAGTTTTGAACTAAAAATTCTTTAGCATTTTATATTATTTAATATAAGTATAGTTATTTGATATATGTAAATATGTGAATACAAATCGATCCATTTGCAATATTGTATAAAAAAAACATGAGCATTTAATGTTTCTTAAATGAAATTACGAATAGAACCTGCCTTGTTGCAGTCATTCTAGTTACAATAAATATTATTCTTTTTTCGGTATATTTTGAATTTAAAGGTAATTCGTGCACATCGCCTCCATTCTTTAATTGTTCTAATATATTTCGGTCTTTTTTGCTGATTTTTCTACTTGTAAATTACCTTTAAATACCTAAAATAAAACTAATCTTTGCTTTTCTTTTATTTTCTCTAAAACAATCCATACACAGAATCCTACTTACGGCAAACAAAGCGATATGCTAGTGGATGAGGAATCCTTGGACAAAGAACCATCGCCACCACTTGTTAGACCATTGCATTGCCTAACTTCGACGGCCACGGTCCTACGTAATTATCGCCACAATCCAATGATTGGTGGTCCAGATGTTTTACCTTCGCCGCCATTTGGTCCTACCGGCAATAATAACATCAGCGCTGGCAACGGCAGCGGCAGCGGCAGCGGCAGCGACGACGCGAGCCCACCTGACCTGACACCGGCCGAAACTGAATCCACTGAATCGGATAGCGGCATTGATGACATCAGTCTAGTTGACGCTTCCTCACCGGTGAAGATATCGTTGGACAATCGCAAAAGCGCTATTTCGAAACCGCTGAGTGGTTGCTCAGCAGCCACTAAAGATATGCTCTTGATAAAGTGCTTGACTAGCAGAGCAGCCAAGAAACGTGGTGCAATGGACGCACTGGCCATCGAACCACAATTTAAGCAACAACAGCCGTTTTCTTCAGTAGACAACTCAAGCGACGATNATTGGTGGACCAGATGTTTTACCTTCGCCGCCATTTGGTCCTACCGGTAATAATAACACCAGCGCTGGCAGCGGCAGCGGCAGCGGCAGCGACGACGCGAGCCCACCTGACCTGACACCGGCCGAAACTGAATCCACCTCGGATAGCGGCATTGATGACATCAGTCTAGTTGACGCTTCCTCACCGGTGAAGATATCGTTGGACAATCGCAACAGCGCAATTTCGAAACCGCTGAGTGGTTGCTCAGCAGCCACTAAAGATATGCTCTTGATAAAGTGCTTGACTAGCAGAGCAGCCAAGAAACGTGGTGCAATGGACGCACTGGCCATCGAACCACAATTTAAGCAACAACAGCCGTTTTCTTCAGTAGACAACTCAAGCGACGATGGTGGTAGTGAGGACAGCAATGATGGTGACATTAACGAAGCTTCTAATGGCAATCGGGGCCGAAAGCGATTGTTGGACGACATAAATCCACTCATGGAACCGTTTATAATGGACTTGTGCAATGATGACTACGATGTGGCGGCTACCGAACAACTACTAGGAAGCAACGGAATCGAAGACGTACTCAGCGATTGGACGCACGAAATGGCCTAGCTGAAGCAAAACATTGTTAGTAACCGGACAAAAGAATCAAACCAAACAAAGGCAAAAACGACAACGGCAAGGGACATGGAATTCGCGGACACAATAGAAAAAAGTCAGAGTTTATAAATGGGATCCAGGGGGAAAAATATTACAGGAAGAACGATTGATAAGCAGTTGTAAACAGAAAAACATATGCATTTAGATGTTGGCTGACAATTNGGAAAATATTAAAGGAAGAACGATTGAAAAGCAGTTGTAAACAGAAAAACATATGCATTTAGATGTTGGCTGACAATTTCATGATGATTTCTAAAATCGATGCAACGAGAAGTCAGTCTTTCTTCTTATTGTTAGGGAATATGAGATAAAATTCAGGAAAATGCTTTTATAAAATAAATCAAAAAAAAAACTCAAGTTTGCGAGATAGCTGAATGTAAAACAAAAACAAGTTTATTCAAATATAGAAAACGAGTTGTTTTGTGCATTTATGCTTACATACTAAATGTATATGTATGCACAATATTTGGAATATTACTTTTAACTCACTCAACAATATTGCTTTGGATATTATAAATGTACGCTTGCACAAGTGAACGCTTCATTGACGATTGACGATGATAATGATTCTTGAAAAATCAACTTCGCACCAGCACTAATTCTTGATTTAACTACGACGTTCCTAAGCAAATTTAATTCGCTGCTATTTCCAATATTCCATTGTTTCCATTTAGTTTTTTCGGCGATTTATTTTGTCAATCATCTTGAGTCGATTCATTAGTGCATGCAGGACTTGCATTATTGCATTTTTAGTAAAAGATTTTTTATTTTTGTATTCTTTATTCATGTCTTAATTGGGATGTAAACATGGTATCGTGTTTTTGTGTATTATTTAGTTACAACAGGTCACACGCAGCTGTAATATTTGCACTTTTATCCGAATTAAAAAAATATGCCACATAAACATGCAATAAATACATACAGCCATACANACATTTTTAGTAAAAGATTTTTTATTTTTGTATTCTTTATTCATGTCTTAATTGGGATGTAAACATGGTATGTATCGCGTTTTTGTGTATTATTTAGTTACAACAGGTCACACGCAGCTGTAATATTTGCACTTTTATTAAAAAAATATGCCACATAAACATGCAATAAATACATACAGCCATACATATGTATGTTGCGAAGGGTCAGAAAAAAATTCAAAAACAGCAAATACAAAGAAGCAAATGCATGTAAACACATTTTAATTTTAAATTTTTACTGCCCAAAACAGAAGTCAGTAATAATTGTGGTTAATTGTATAGCACTAAATTTTACATGCAACTCTGTTAGCACTCAGTTAAAAAAATGGGGGAAAAAAGTAAAAAAAAAATAAAAATTAAAAATGTCATAGTTCTTGCATACCCTTTATAAAAGAGAGTTTCCTTTAACTTACAAAAGTTCAAAAAGCTCGAGCGCCCCGAAAGTTTTACTGAATTGTTGAAAGGTATATGAAAATTTAGAGAAAATCAAATATAACATAACATAAAACATACAAATTATATAGCACACCGTAAAAACTCTAAAAAATCACTAATAAATAAAGAAATTAATCTAAACGTAAATATTTTTATATTCCGGTTTTCATACTTTTTAATTTATTAGAGAATAAACTGTCTTTCAATAAAAAATTAAAACCTCTAAATTGAGCACAAACTATGCAAGGCTATGAAAACAAAAAAATTTTATTTACATGTAAGCGTAATTATAGGAATAAAATGTTTGAAAACAAAAAAGAGGAAAATCAAATGTTTGTATATTAGTTTAAGATTTTCATCAAAAGAATCGCGCACGAGGGTATTTCACACCAGGCTAGCGAGAAGGTTTGAAAAATCCAAGAATACATACACCCATACAAAAAAAAAATCGGTACTATTTTTCCATTGGAATTATAAAATCTATTATATTTTAAGACGTCCACCACAATATTTCGGAAAAATATTAAAATTTACGTGAGCTGGAACGGTTTGAAAATACCTCTAAAAATGGAGTTTTGAAGAATAAAAATAGTTTCTTAAAGATTTTTTTTTAAAAAGGTCCTCTCAGACGACAAAACAGATTAAGCTTAAAAATCTGTATAAAAATATTAAAAAAAAAATTTTTTAAATTGTGAACGGAATCGTAATGATGAGATTTTTGACGCTGTTTTTTAACTTTTTTCAAAGATTGGTATAAGAAAAACATGAAGAACTGAACATAAGCTCTTCCGCTTTAGACCTTTGAGGTATCATTGGAAAGGTCTTTTCTCACCTTTTAATTTTAATTTTCTAATAACCTCATTCAAACGATGAAAGAGAAAGGTAGGATGAACGGATGGCATTGAAAGTGGAATTAAGATGTATTGGTAATAGAAATAAAAAAATTGGAACACGAGATACCTGTTTTAGACAGAAATAAAAACAGTGTGAATATATCTTTCTACTGAGATCCCATTAGTCTAAATCAGAATAGTTTCGGCCCAGTTATGCAAGTTTTTCGTAAATCAATCTTTGAAAAAAGGAAAAAAAAAAGCATCAAAAATCTCACTCTTACGACCCCGGCGGAAAAACCGCAACTTTTTTTTGGTGATGCAGTCTAATGTACATATGTTCTCGAAGTACTAGCTCAGAGAAAGTTAAAGTGAAGCCACGAAAAAGTGCAGTCACTTATTTTGTGGAAATTTGGAAAAGTTCTTGTTGTTTTTATTTTTCTTCTACATATATATATGTAGTGTGTTAAGTTAAAGGAAATTACAATTTACATTCAATTAAAACTTTTAAAGAACGCATGGGAATGAAAATTGTCACATCTGATGGACGGTGTTGATTATTCGGTAAATATCTGGTAGAAAACGGATTTACTAACGCAGGCTAACAAATTATGTACGAAGTTTTATGGTGACCGGGTACAGGTCGAGTAACTTACAAAGCTATATAAAAAGCATCTTAAAAATTTTCTACGCAGTCATAAAAAAAAAAATTTCATATGGCTACTCGGAACTAACAGTTTTTGGCTCAGTTATATATTATGCAATTTCAATATGAATTTTGAAAGAAGAATATGTATATGAAGTTAAAAAAAAAAAAATATGAGTAACGATGAGGGAATTCAAAAAATGGTCAAACAGTTTTTTTGTGGCATTTTGGCAATAATTTTATTCAAACATTTCTTTAGCGTCAGATGTCGGAATCGATTTTGGAAGTACTTGGCCTACAGAGGTAGAAGTTTTTTACAGTTTTTTACAAGTAACAAGATTGTCATAACTAGTATTGTCGCAATTAAACACCTTTTACAAAGTTTGAAAACTATTTGTTCTGATTTATAGAAAGGTCAAGAACATTTTAATATTTATGACAATATGACTTTTATGGTTTTATGGACACCTTCTGAATCACCAAAATACGTTTTACATTTTATGTACTTCTTTCATATTTATCAAAACCCGCCTTCGATTCGCCACTTCTGAGCTCGCCAAGTATAACCTATGTTCTCTTGTTAAAAAATGTGTTCGGGTATATGAAAGCATCAACAAAGTTATCCACCTGAATTAAACACAAGAAAGTATGGGGATTCCTTATTGATTTGGTCCATTAGGCAAGGTTTAAACTTTTGTGGACTAAGTGCTGTTAATATGAAAATCGATAGTTAAACCCTTGTCAGTGGTTAACCACCCACTGCGAATTCGTCTCTACTGTTAAGTATGAACGCAGTTTATTTGATCTAAGTTTAAACTGGCACTGAAAAACTGGTTCTAAATGCTGGTGAATCGAAGGCGGCTTATATTACTGACCGACCACACAGTTAAGGCGTAAGGTGTGGCAATTTTTTTATAAGGCATTTTGCAAGGAATTGTAAGGTTATGTATTTTGTAGTCTCGTTTAATATTTTGAAAACTTTTTAATCGAATATTGTGCAAAGGTTTATGCGCTGAATTAAAAAAAAAAAACACTTTGATTTGCCGAACAATAGATGAGCATACATATGTATGTTTGGTTTTTTATTTAGAAGTAATTTTAATATCTTAAATCCACAAATTCACTTATAATTTTTTAATTAAGAATTGATCAGAATCAATTGAAATAGTAAATTTGAAAAAGAATCAATATAACGGACTGAAAAAAGATGGAATCAGAGTTGCATCGTCATATTTAAATGCTCTTCCGAAAACATCAACCATATGTCAACGACTCACGACAAATAAAATACCTTGTGAATTGGCCGTATATACATATTTTGTAGTCTTTTTACAGTTCATTTGCTTTTTTATTATTTCTGTTTTGGCAAACATTTACATACATATACACAAATACATATTGTAATTATGATTTTAATATATACTCTAAATAAATATTAATTGAATGGTAAATTGTAATAAAAAATCAGCAGTGTTGCCACTTTGAAAATGTAGTGAAAAAAGTAAGTATAAAAAATATTAAACAAAGTTCACATGCGTTCTTAGAAGCTCCGCCAACCGCATATCTGGCGTGGACCATCGGCATGAGGGATATGCCAGCACACAGCTGGTATCTGAGTTAATTTTGCCAGCCTTTATGGCTCTTCTTAGATCCTCGTAAGGTACCAGCGCATCCAAAAGCCATCCGTAGCTGCTGACTCCATCAATAATTTTTTGTAAGCTTGTCGCCCGTCCCTGATGGACATCTTTGCTGGACTTTTGTAGCCATAAACAAATGGATTTTTGTACGCAAGCTGCTATGTCTACGTCATTGTCCGAGAAAGTCTCGGCGACGTGAGCCAGTAGGCTGGGTAGTGTGGTCTCTGTGTGGAAAGAATTTAACGGGTTAAAATATGAAGCTGCCATCGCGCCAAGGATTGGTTTCAAAATGGAAAGTTTAGTAGTATAAGTATCAGTATAATGAACAATTGACAAATGATAATGACAAATTCTTCCCGAATTGAAATTGAATTGAGTGGTCACATACTAAGCTGGTTTAGATCCGATCATTGGATCATCATATATGATATATATATATATAAATAATTGGAATCAGTTTTGTTTATTTTAAATTACATTCACACATATGTATGTATGTATGGGGTTTCCTATTAAAATACGATCTGTAGTTTGAAATTACTTGATTGTGATGCCAGAATAGAAATTTGACGGAAATTTGGTTGGCCAGAACCAACTATGCGCACGATTGCTAAACTTACCTACTCTTTCGCCTGTACCATTTTTGTAGACTAACTTGAAGTGTTCCAAAAGACTTCTTGCATCGTTTGCATAATCCTCTACATTGGAAGATCGTTCGTCTTTGCTCATAGCTTTCTTAGTTTGCCTCCCTTCTCCAATGTCATTACTTTTCTCAACTTCAACTGATTCGGACTCGCCTTCAGCCGTACGCGCCTGAAATACATTAAGGGAGCGTACGATGTGAGCCACAAACAAGCTGCCACCGGCCAATAGACCGCTGATAACCAACGATCCTGTGTTGATATTCACCATAGCCTGCAGTGATGTAATCGTTTAGTAGTTATTTGCACGACAATGTTCCCCACTTTAAAAATTCATTTTTTGTTTTATTTCATTAATTAGTTAGTACTTAATGTAAAAATAACTTATTTTCTAAGAATTATGTTAGTGAACTCCTTATGGATGCAGCATTTCCCTTGCACTTTCAACATGATTTTTTTTTATTGGTAATTTGAATAAAAGTAATTTAGCTGCCTATGGTATACATGTACATTAGACTGTCCCAAAAAACCAACATTGTTTTTTTTTTTGACGCATACCCCCTCATTTCATTGGTATTATCTTAAAAAATATCCGAATAAAATTTTATGCAATTCCGACCACGGCAACCCGTGCCGACTTGCAGTCAAAGTTATCGTGTTTTGTTAATTTACTCATTTTACTTCCTTACTGTCCCTACAATATTAGGACATAATATTTAGTAAATCTGCGCTTTTGGTATTTTACCTGGTAGTCAGGGTTTTTTCCAAAGGACCATAAGTTATAATATATTTCCAAAAGTTTACACAAAATATGGAGATATGGGTATCAAATGAAAGATGAATTCGAAACAAGATTAACTATAACTTTTATTTTCAATTATCCTTCTGGAACATGTCGAAAATGTCCTTTAAAAATATTATCCTTCAAGATTTTTAATTTTAAATGAGTTTGGAAGAAGCTTAGTTTAATTTAAATCTTATTAATATATATAAGGATACTAAAGGATAAAAATTTCAAAGGATATTTTTCAGATTTTCTAATTAATACTGCCACATTTATTCTTTAATCAACCCGAGAGGACATGTCAAACACTAAAACACTTTATTTTGTTTCTTTAATATTATGAAATGCATTTTTTTAAAGGAGGAAAAGAATTTGTTAAAAAAGTTGAATATAAAAATTTAATTAAAAAATGGTCTAAAATTGCAAATTTTCAGGACATGCACAAATTATTCGACTAAAATAATAATGTAATACACCCCTTCAAATCCAATATGCTTTTTCCATTAATTAATTTTTTCGATGTCCTTGGGCAATTCTGAACATTTTTTAATTGGTGTGACAGGGCGTATGATGAATACAAAATTATTAAATTCAACTTTTCTACTACATTAATTTTTCTTAAAAAAATGCCTTACAAGATATTAAATAAACCAAATCATATGATTTCATATTTTATATGTCCCTTCAGTCTGTTCAACTGCTGTAAATCAGTACGATATGAAAATTATATTTAGTTAAACTTTTTTATGTCATACGGAAGTACAACCATTATATCATTCCGAGAGGACATGTCAAAGACTAAAACGATTTATTTTGATTATTTGGTATTATGAAAGGTTTTTTTTTTAAATGAGGATAAAAATTTGTAATACAAGTTGGATTTAATAATTTAATGTTCATCATACGCCCTGTCACACCTATTAAAAGATGTTCTACAATTGCAATCCTTCAAGCATACACAAATTATTCGAATAGAAAACATATCGTTTTGCAGCCTTGTAATACACCGTTAAAAAGCCGCTTTTCGATTAATTAATTTTTTCGATGTCCTTGGGAGAAATCCTGTCCTCCTATTAAAAATTTAAAGAGGCAGATTTACTAGAACGCGTTCAAATATGGGAAACATTTTGAATATATTGCATTTCCAAAGTTGTCATGGACGATTTGGCAGCCTTAGTTCAAGTTATTAACTAAAACTTCAACTGAAAGTCGGCACGGGTTATCGTTAGCCTAAGGCCATAAAACTTCATATATATGCTATTTAGGTTAAAAAGCACAAATATAGAGGATATGCATATCAAAATTTGCAAACAAGTTTTTTCCATATATTCTTGGGACAGTCTAATGTACATAAGTATATACATGTATTAGGGTGTATCACTCTCCATACAAAAAAAAAAAAAAAATCTCAGTGCGTATAGTCCCTACGCGCGGAAGAAGTTGAAACTTAATAGAGGAAATGCCAGAAAAAAGGAGTGTGCGATATACATACACATATACATATACATATTTTCTTATATACAAAAAGCGTACACTGCCGGAATAAAGTATTGGCACAGCAAATTTTTCACAATATATGCAACGATTTTCATTCTAATATTTTCCCGCTGATTTCGTATAAAAGTATGGTTCATTCTACAACAAAAAACATAAAAATATAATTCCTAAACTTTGTTCGAAACTCGCAAAAATTCAGCAAATTTCCAGCTTTTTAATCAGATTTTTTTGAGTATGCAGATTTGTAGCCCAATCAAACAATTTTATTATAATAAAGTGCAAGTTTTAAGAAGCTAGGAATTACCGTTGATTTTAAGCAATTTTTTTCACGCGGTCTCTTCCACACAAAAAGTTTTTTTCGAAAATACTTTATGTGGAAAAAATGCAAAACACCTTCAACAAAAAAATTCTCAAAAATCAACGCGATTTTTGGCTAACTCCGAATATGCATTTTTTTACTGGAATTTAATGGGCTGCAAAACTACATACTCTACAAAATCTGATTAAAAAGTTGAAAACTTTGATGAAAATTGGCAAATTTTTCGCGAGTTTTGCACAAAGTTTAGGAATTATATTATTATATTATTATATTATATTTTTATGTTTTTTGTTGTTGAATGAACCATATTTTTATACAAAATTGGCGGAAAAATATTAAAATAAAAATGTTTGCATATATTGTTTGCATATGTATATTTGCTGTGCCAATACTTTGTTCCCGCAGTGTATTTACCTAAAATTTGCTTTAAAGGACATTTAATTTTTTAGTTTTTATAACCAACTGCAAACTTAATTATTATTTGTGGCTGAGAAAACATCCATATCTACAATATTAACTAGTAAGTAAAGTAAGATATGGAATGTTTTATTTCAATATTATTAATATTTCTGGATAAAACCACATAAATGGTAGCCGCCCCCTTGGTTGTTGGAGCATTTCTACCATTAACCATTTCCAGTGAAACATTTTATTTAAAAAATTTTGCAAGTTTATCACACTTGGCCATAGCCAATTACAGGTCGATCATAACAGTCTACTTATCTTCATCTTCCCTTTATCATTCATCTTCATCTTCATCTTCATCTTCATCTTCATCTTCATCTTCATCTTCATCTTCATCTTCATCTTCATCTTCATCTTCATCTTCATCTTCATCTTCATCTTTATACAAAACCATTTCTTTTGATACCCATATTGGGATACTTTATTTATTTTAATAAATAATTTGATTTTTATTTTCGTATATATGGCAACTTTTTAAAAAACTAAAATCGAATTACACATCTACAGATCAAGCCCTTTTATTTGACACCTCATCTTTTAAAATCGAACGAAAGATACAGATTTTATGACTCGGTGTTAAATATTTAACGCAACCATCTCCGAGCTCGAGTAAGAAGTTTTTTATCTTAACAGTGGTCGTCCCTCGTCAGGCAATGGCAAACCTCGGAGTGTATTTCTGCCATGAAAAATAGCTTCTCATTAAAATACAATCGCCGTTCGGAGTCGGCGTAAAACTGTAGGTCCCTCCGCTTTGTGTGACAACATCAAGGCGCACGCCACAAGTCGGAGGAGAAGCTCGGCCAAATACTAACATATGTGAGCGCCAATCTATTATCATTATTATTTAAAATATATTTTGTTTACTAATCATGGTCATTGTTCGAGAACATACCCGAATGCAGATACCGTCATCATCGTCTTTTATTTTGCGTATTATATATGTATGTATGTATAAGTAATAATGATTTAATTATTTTGAGATTATATTAGAGCTTCTGCGACTACCTATCTTATGGTATGGTTAGGTTAGGTGGCTTCGCTGACACCATTAAGGTCCATAGCGGACAGGTAAACACTGCGTACCAGGATAAATGTGGAAGAACATCGAAGTTTTCTTGGCAAACTGGAACACCTTTTTATACCCTAGTTTGGTGGAGGCTTTCAGATTAGGTATAAAACCTGCTCCCAGCAGACTAACTCGCAGTCTGCTAAGGGCTATGCTCCACACTGTCTCCTCTTTCGTTCTGCATCTTCTAAAGATCTTACCATTAGTCAGAAGAAATCCGAATAATCGCTTGGAGGCAAATCGGTACATCCTCTATCAGCATCGTTTCCGACAAAGCGCCCTCTTTGCAACGGCTGTTGGCCGCGATGCCGGTGTGCCGCGGAACCCAGTACAGCTGACGTCACTATTGAAATGTAGCAAATCCAGAGCTGCCTTGCACTCTGCAACTCTCCTAGGGGATAGGTGCGATAGTAGAGCCTGGCGGCAGTATTTGACGCTCTATATTTGGCCAATAGATCGGCCGGCATGAGATGCAAGAAGGTGTAAAGTGCTGCCGTTAGTGTAGGCCCAACAGCTAATTTCGCGAAAGCAATTTAAATGAAAAATGATTTTACTTTTTTGATTCTTATATGCAAATTGACAATAAAAATCATTTTCCATTTAAAATGCGGGTGAAACTAGCTATAAGTGCCCTTGTCATGCCGATCATTGATAGCCTATGTTCATTTTCTATTCTCTTAAGAAAAACTGTTTCTCCATTGCCGTTCACCAAACTAATACCTCGGGGAACAGTATCGGTCTGACTATCGCCACTGGTGCCTTATTCGCCCTCTCTACCCTTTTGAGGGGCCACGACAGCTTACTATTGAGTAATATTCCGAGGTACTAAGTGCTTTGATTCACCTGGAGGGTCACCCCATCCAACTTAAGCTTAGACCAGTTCGGAAAATTTTATTTCCTGGTGAGGAGTACCAGGTCTTTCTTTTCTGCGTTGATACTAAGCCTCACTTCGATTGCCCAAAAATGTATCACCTCTGGTGCTTGGCTCATAAATGAGCTGACTAAATATCGTCCGCATATCGTCACCTAAAATGCAAAAATACGTAACAAAACATCGCCACTGAAATGGAAAAGGTCGGGACTAATATTTTTTGATTTTTTTATAACGATGTGGGGAGTCGTAATTCGATGAAATCCATCATATCAATCAAAAAGTGAATTTTGAATTTTTTATTACTTAGTTACGACTTATTGCATTTCAATGACAATGTTTGTTACGTCTTTTTGCATTTCAGGAGACGATATGCGACCAAAGTAGCGGTGATAATATGCCGCCTTGCGGCGTTCCATTGCTAACTGTTTTGATGGTCTCATGACTACCGAAACATTTTTGCAGCTCAGCGTAGAAGAAGACACGCAATTATTCACATGGTGAGTGCAGAGTGGTATCGCATTTTGAATACTCTTCTCTCAAACATTTCAAAATTGTTAATATTAGACATTGCGTTACATAAGTTTTTCTGTTTAATTGTTTACTCTTACCGGCGAATTTCCGTACTTGTCCTTATATTGTTTCATAGGCACTTGAAGAAATGGTAATTCAAAGTCTAAGCCCATTGCCACATCTTTACCTAAAGGTCGAAATGAGAAAAGATTTACACGTCCACTGCGCTCTGGCGATGAAGTACGATTGAAAGTGGTAGTCCTATTGGCGCCCACTCCCAAGCGGCCAAGTATCAAGCCACTGAAAATTATAATCGCGCGGAATATCATTGTTTGCTTTTTAATTTCTACTTGGATCCCTTGCGACCTCCAACCTGTTCTCCTACTCGGTCATGCACTTTATGAAGAGGTTTGCGCGATCCATTTTGCTTTATACGCGTAACTTATGGGCGGACGATGCTCTGCAGTTTCGTAAGCATTTCCTGTATTACATGCAATGGCATGGTCTGGTGCTCGCCTGAATGCGCACAAATTGGACTAAGCGATTGTTCATCGAGTCACATACATACATGCAATGAATATACCCTGCAAGACAGCTGAGCATCAAATAAGTGCTCATTTTATCATTATCACTAATTACAAAAGTGCTTATTAAAATACTCATTTTTGTTCAGGCGATGGGATAAAACTGAGCACTTTCCCCTTGTTGGTGTAATATTTTACCTCTTCTTACTAATTGAAAACTTTGATTAATGAAAAATATATCTGCTCTGCTCTAGAAACTACCAAACTGTTTATTTTCGTTTTTATAAACACATCAGTGCTAATGAATAAAGTACTCATTGTTGTCATTAGCAAGTCCTCATTGCTAATAAACAAACTACTCATTGTTGTCGTTATAAACTCCTCAGCACTAATAATCAAACTACTCATTTTTGCCGTTATAAACTCCTCAGTACAGGAAAAAACAAATAAGTAGAAAATCAAAATTTTTACTTTTAAAAATGAATTGGTTTATTTAAAAAACGTTTATTAATACTAAACTCGTATAGTACATATGTGCAAACAAATAACAAACTTTGTACATATCGATGGTCCTGTGCAATAACGACACAATTCAAAATTCAAAAAATAAGACCCTTACTACTGTTAAGTGGCTCATATATCTATCTAATCCATGTCGAATCCATGTCTAATATTTAGTACTTACTTTAGCAATCCTTACTGCTTACTTTAGATAAGGTTGGAAATGGATTAGACGAGGATTACAGACAAGAGGCACTTAACAGTAGTAACAGTTTTTATTTTTTGAATTTTGAATTGCCGGTGTTGCCATTGCCATTGGCATGCCGGTGTTGAATGATGATGGTGGCGATACTTCTGGTACCGGTGATACGATGTTGGTGGTGGCATTAAAGGTGATGGAGGAGGTGCGTGCTATATCAGCTGGTGACGGCGTTAAAGATGATGGTGGATTTTAATTTTAATTGTTGCAAATCTGTAATAACGAGAAAATTAATTAAAATGCACAAATTAAGTAATTTACATATGTATGCACACACCTTAAAAATAATGTTGCAAAGTCGATGGCAACGGCAACGGGAACATAAAATGAAATTTGAAATATCTATAAAATTATAAAAATANGTGTGTAAAGCTGTCGAATTTGAAGGGAAACTGCTCACCCATGGCTTGCAGGGTACACAGGTATGTACGCATACCCACCAAACAATTTGTGTTGCCGGCAATAAGAAAACGTGTCGCCCTCGGAAACAAATTTATTGCCGGTAATATTGCCATCGAATCGATTTCCTATTACCGGTCGCTCTAAAACGTCCGCCGAAGGCAACTCGCCTGGGTGAGTCGTTTTCTTATTACCTGAATGAGTCCTTTTCTTATCGCTTCAGGCGATATTTGGAATAATTTTATTCTTCTTAATACTTCATTTATTTTTTTGTATACCAAATTGCAACTTACAATCGGAATTAATTCATTTTCTCGCTGTGAGACTTCCTATTTTTTCAATCTTGTCCTTGGGCATAATTTAGATGCTTTTGGCCAATGCTATTGACGCCATATTCATAAGTTTCCGAATTTTTGAGAACTTTTTTATTCAAAATTGACATGAACGAAGTGGTGTTGCCGATTTGTCACCACAGCAATAAATCGGTGAGTCGCCAATTTGTTGCCATTGACGATTGTTGCCTATTTCTCATGTTTTGCATGGTGGGTATATGTATATAGATATGTATGTATGTATGTAATTACCTAAATTAATTCGCACATGTGAAGAGCGCACGAAGCGCAAAGCTGAGAAATTTCTTTCTAATTCCGGATTCGTTTTATCATCCATCCACATAGTTATGTATATCGCCATCGTAACAGCAAGAGATACATAATACGCGCCAACGACCAATGTGCCGTTTACATACATATATGTATATATGTTACCATTCTAAACGTAAACATTGGGCTTTCGGCTTTTTCCAGTCTATTCTAGAATACCAGATCACTACTTGTAAAATAAGGTAGTTAACGACGGAAAGCTATACACACTTACGAGCCTCGTTCCTTGTAGTTGATTCAGATTAGAAGAAGGCGCGGGCCGACTTTTTCCGGCTCGGACCGGCACGAGTGTAGGACACATATGTATTCGAAAGCAAGCATGGGGAAAAATCAGTGAGGACCCGCCCGAAACGGCCCGAATTTCTCGAATTTTACCAAACCTATTAACTTTCACGAGAAAATGAAACATGCATAGCCACGAGTATTACTTTTTTACACGAGAAAAGTTTCTTGCTCAGAAAATTAGAGTTACATACATATATATGTAAGAGTGGATGTACTTGGCATATATTTACATTTTCTAACAGATTTTCGAAAGCCTTTTACTTTGATTCAGTCATTAGACTTTACAGTTTCATATTTTTACAAAAACAAACGATTTGCTAAATTTAGGTATAGTAAATATATGGACGCCTGGTACGTCTTTTGTTATGTATTTTATTCGATAGAGAAAGTAGTTTCCCAAACATCTATAACAACGTTATTTCATGTTAAGAGTTTGCTGTAAGTATTAACTTGTAGTAAATTACCGTCCTTGGTATCTCTGAAATTTAACGGTACATGGGAGGTGGGCGTACAATTAGTACGATTTCGAAAAGGTTCAGCATATTGCTTTCTTGTACCAAGGGAAATAACTGTACCGAAATTAATAGATATCGATAAATCGGTAATCGAAATACACACATGTAGACATACATAAGTGGGCGGTGTTACGCCTATTTAACACAAATTTTATAAGTGTCTTATTTTATACCAACATTCTATTTAAAATTCCATTTTTAAGCAATTTGGATCGAGTATTTACTGAAATATCGTATTTGTGCATTTTTCGAAACTACCGTTATAGGTGAGCATGATTACCACCCAATTGCGCCCATTTTCAAAGCAACTTAATAGTAATAATAGATTGACGCTTACACATATGTATATTAGTGTTTGGCCGAGCTTCTCCTCCGATTTGTGAGGTGCGCCTTGTTGTGGTCACACAAAGGGTAGGGACCTACAGTTTTACGCCGACTCCGAACGGCGATTGTATTTTTATGTGAAGCAGTTTTTCATGGCAGAAATACTTTCGGAGGTTTGCCATTGCCTGCCCTGGGGCGACCGCTAGTAGAAAAAAACCCAAAAACCCTTGAACCCAAGTCCTGCTGAATGGTAGCGTGCAAAACGCTTTTTGTCGGCCGACAAGAAAACATATTTTTCTATCCCATTTGTATCGAGTTTCAACTTATTTGGTATGGGTTGAATAGTAAGATGTATGTAATGTACTCTGGCCCTATATGACACCAACAATCGTTTTGTGGTCTTGGATGTGGGGGTCAGCATAAAGTAATATGCAATTTTTTGATAAGATATCCCAAATTATTCTAAATTTAATAATATTTGGTAAAAATAATTAATAATTGACTAAACCATTATCCAACACACAGTGCAAGGTTGCTATTAAGTTTTTAGTAAAGAATATAATTTATTAAAATAATTACNCATACGACACCAACAATCGTTTTGTGGTCTTGGATGTGGCGGTCAGCATAAAGTAATATGCAATTTTTTGATAAGATATCCCAAATTATTCTAAATTGAATAATATTTGGTAAAAGTAATAAATAGTTGACTAAACCATTATCCAACAAACACTGCTAGGTTGCTATTAAGTTTTTAGTAAAGAATATAATTTATTAAAATAATTACTTTGGCACTTACATATGTACATACATAATAAATATTATAGCTGTATGTTTAATCCCAGTTACATTTAAGAATATTTAATACAGTTACAGTTATGTTTAATACTACCTGAGTCGTTCTAAGTAACTGACCAAAAAGTTCGCAACAATTTTCCATGTTGTATTCTTCATGTTTGACCATTTACAGTTCCGATAAATGTGCTCGCAAGTGGTCGCATTACTTGTACGCCCTAAATCTATGGCTTTCTTCAGAGTTGTGTCATTAAGGTAAACCCTTAGCAGATCTAAACTAAAATTGAGAAATAATACAACACTTATTGAACAAATCTTAGCTGGTATTCGGAATGGGATTTTTAGAACTTACTTGACGAGCCCATCGACTATGCGTTCAGTTGGAGATGCACGACCTTCCCGAACAACTGCTGTGGCTTGCTGGATGTAACCGCAGATGGCGCGCTGAGCGCACGCACTTATATTCACGTTATTAGCGTGTAGACTTCGTTCCAGCACATTTAACACATCTTGGACTCTGCTAACTATTTATAAAAAAAACTTTGCCGAATAAAATCTCAATAAATGTTGGAAATCTAGCCTACCAGATTTCTTTACCGTAACACCGTCACCGCCCACCGGATCATAACTGACGAAGCTGAGCCCTTCCGTAAAATCTGCGCCACGATTGGCTTTCTTGTAGCCATATCCATAGAATGTTGGCGTGGTCACAGTTTTGATCACTGCCGCAACAAGAGCTCCTGCAACAGCAAGACCGCCGCCTAGTAGAAGGTTACGCGAATTTAAATCGGTAAATTTACGAAAAGCCGTCTGTGTAATTTCAAAACTGCGTTCAATGGGCACTCGGAAGACAGGCACAATGAATTCAAGGTTTATGGAGAGATCTTTTCCGTCAGCCTCGAAATGTATTCCACGCGCCTTGCGTTTTTCAAACAGACTTTCCCTCAATTTATTACTCATCTCCTCTGCAGCATCTTTTGAATTTATTTCACCCATGGAACGTGGCTCGAAATCGCGAAAGCGGAATGAATGCACAACATTGCTACTTTGACCAGCTGGTCCACCATTGCCACTAGCCGTCGAATTACTGTAGATGTTGTCGCTCAAGTCCACATCGTCATAAATGTTCTCAACGATCCTTTCGCTCAGTACATGGTTGTATGTTTGGTGTACTAGCAGCAACAAAATCAGCTGCGTGCCCCTGGCCTGAAAAGACCATCCACGGAGGCACCTGCTCCATTGTCTTCTGCCGAAAATAATGCTCATACTCTTTGTTTGATGTTGCCTCGGCAGCAATTGGCTGCAATCTAAATGCGTTCGCATTTAACTCGACTACGTTTATATGAACCGATAACAAAAATAAACAACGACGGCTAAATAAAGGCAATAGCATCAAAATGGGTAATACGGCGGAAACATAAAACAACGGCGTAAAGCAGAGAAGGTGACAAACCGTTACAAAGCCTCCATTGACAGAATTTCACGGCTTACGAGCACAATAAAGCAACACACGAGTACTTAGACAGTGAGTGCAGTGTCTTGCGGTTAAAAGCAGACAGGGGGAAGTAAATAAAATGTTTGGTGGCTGTGATCGTTAATCCTGTTACATTTTTAGACGTTTTAGAATATCAAGCCAAACAGTCAATCGTAAAGTCTATACAGTCTTGGCAAACATGGTGCTTACAACAACAGCCAATGGTAACTTTGAAGAAGAGAAAACTAGCAGAAAAAGTTATTGAACACAAATCTAGTAAAAACTTGCAAGTGAATAGTTGCTGCACCGTTTCGGTATACTGCTGTAAACATTTTACTATCTATAAATCAGTTTTAAAGTCTTTGCTTCCGTTCATTTTACTTTTGTTTGTGCTAAACCAATTCACCAAATGGCGGCTTTGGCATTTATTCTTCTTCTTCTTCTGCTAGCAAAAACTTCACTAGCAAGAATTTGCAGCTCTCCCGTGTTATTGCGCTCTCGATTCAGTGCTCTCTTGCAAATGTTTTGGGTTATTATACACATTTGCAGTAAAAATTTGCAGGTTCCAGTAAAAATGAGTACTGACTATTTGTTACTATACAAACCTATAGTGTCAAATTTCAAAACACACTTCCAGGGCCTGGATTTTGTAACTGAGTTTTCAAGTGTACACTGAAAATTGTGTGCACTCTTAATTTTGCGATTCAGGAATTGTGAGAATGAGTTTCAGCTGTCAAAATTATGTACACTTCTCTTCCGAATTTTATTGGGTGAATTTTTGGCTGTGAGTTTTGCACTCGGTGTACACTTCGTTTTCTCACAGTGACAGAATCTTCGAAACCAACGGAATCAAATCTTTGAAAATAGGAATCCGGTAAATTTTATTTTAACACATACCTCTGCTGATGTTAACTTATTTCACCTAATTTAAATGTGTCATTCATAGACTAAGCCGATTGCCCTGGTAGTTTGTTCTTGATATGTCTATTCTGCACGTTACCGAAGATTTTTTTTAGGTTTGAAATGCATCGTTTTGGTGTAGACCTCAACAAATATTCATAAGCGCACATAAAGTTTGTCGCTTACAGTATATGTACATGCGTGTAAAAGAAACACGCCTATTGACACTTTAGTAAAGAGTTTTTTCACACATCATGAGTCATGACCAGGGAACGGATTTCATGGATATTGCCTTTTTTTCTGCTAAGGAGATAGAGTATATTCGATTAAGAATGTCCACGATTTAGCTTTCCCTGATTCCATATAGACACATTTGATGTTGCCTTTTTTAAGATATTTGCCTTTTTTTTTGCATTTCTACCTTTAAAAAAGTCATTATAGCATTTAAATTTTTTTTTAAGATAAAAAAAAAATAAAAATGCCCATGCGGCTTATAGAAGCGCAGGGACCTCTTGCCAAATTGGTGTTGGAAAAATTCAAAGCCGTTTTCTCAGCTAACGTAGGCTTGGAGACAATAAGGGGTGTGGATAAAATTGTAAAGGGCGAGGAAAACGCCCTTATTCCTGATAATATGAACGTTTCAAACGTTCCATATTTAAATTGGGCTCCACTTGTATCAACTTAAGTCGAGCGCACATTTAGTACATTCAAGGCTTTTCTTCGCGAAAATCGAATGAAAATGCTGCCAGAAAACTGCAAAATGCATTTTGTGGTTCAATGTTACTACAACTATACAGATTAAAGTTTTATGAGTTAGAAACTCGAAAGGATAAAATAGTCAAAGCGTCAAAGTAGAAATTTTTCATATAATGAAACTAGTTCGCAGTTTTTCTCTTTTTACTTATAATATAAAAATTTCTAAAATAAATTTATTTTTTGATTGTTCTTCGTATTTTCTTTTTTAGTGCCTTATTTTTTTGCAATACCTAGTGCCTTTTCCTGCCTTTTTCGCTATTTTATTTTGCCTTTCCCAGCCTATTTCGTTATTTATTTTTTATGTATGCCAAAACATACATATCTTAATATAGAAATGCACTATCTAACATTTTTGTTTATTGATGGAGCAATGAAAAAACTGCATAGAAAATCGAGTCATTTTGCTATTTCGGGAATTTTCGATGACAACACTGATAAAAACGCCCAGCTGTTCTCTGTTGTACAAGTAGGAAAAACGCCCAGCTGTTCTCTGTTGTACAAGTAGGCAAATAAAGCAATTCTGTAGGTGCCAGGTTCGATCCTCGGTTGGGGCGATTGCCAAACAATTTTTTGTTTTTTTTATTATAGTTTTTTTATTTTATTTGATTTATATATTTAATTTTATTTTAGTTTCACTTGTTTTATTTTATACATACGTATTTTATTTTACATAAGTTTATTTAAATTTTTAGAGTTTAATTTTATTACAAAAGTCAACAACAACTAACTGAAAGCAACGTTGAAAAAATTGAGAACTAATAAATGAATGAACTCGAACCGACGACCTTGCGGCTCGTTAATCCGCATAACTGCCGTCTGTCAAGGCACAATTTTGATCAGAACCGTGCCGTTAATCCGAAACAACGCTGCCGTCTGTCAATGATTCTAGTGTAATAATCTGCTAGGCTTGTTGAAGGTGTTTCGTATATTCTTTCATTTTTAAAAATCATCAGACAAAAAAAAATAATCAATGCTAATCGAAGTAATGTGTGCATAAAATGTATATTTTACTGTAAATATTCATAACACACACATTGGTCTGGGGTCTTTTTGGCTCCATAATGACCCCCTGCATTCGNTCCCCACACATTGGTCTGGGGTCTTTTTGGCTCCATAATGACCCCCTGCATTCGGTGCCTCTGTGTAAAATGAATTTTGATTCGAGGTTTACCGAATCCGTATCGTCTCCCCCCAACGATTTTCGTACTTATCTCAGTTTCCACTACTGCTCACAACTTTGGTGACTTATCAATATTTTGTCTTGTAAACCTTTACGCTTTGTTGCTTGCGTGGGCACGAAAACCATGCATTAAGCTGATAACAGCCGCTTAGCTCAAATGTAATGCACGTGAAACAATTTCTACTCCCTGCATTTCAAGTGTCATGCATATGTACATACCGTCGTTTAAAGTACAAAACCGAGTATCAACAAAATGCAAAACCGCGTATGTGAGGTTGCATAAATTATTTTCTAGAGAGTAAAAACACTCATATTTCAAAATGGTTGTATTTTTTATAAAGCAGTCGCATTTCTGGATAGTATCTTTCAGAACGAATGGATAAGGATTGAGCCAACAGCTTGTGTGAGTAAATCCAATTTTTGGCAGCCAATGTCAGAATGACGATACGCGGTTTTGTACTTTAAACAACGATATATATATCTGCAAATGGGTCATAAATTTAAATGTGCTCCAATTATCTTTATTCAAGTAGTAAACTATTTTTAAATGACTACATTTCATTAAGCTGCTGGAAGATATTAAAAAAAAATAATCAGAAGAAGTTTTAATTTTTGTCTATGGAAACTTTTATTTCATGTATTATTTATTACTTTACACCATGGTACAATAAAAACAGGTAGAAGCCAAATTGACATCAAACCTACAAAAGTCATATGTGGCATCAGCTTAAAAATAAAAATGAGCGTGTGTAAGGAAAAATAAAAAAATACATTTCACTGGTTGACGTTTTTAAGTATATTTGAAGTTTATTCTTATTTATTTATTTTCTTTAGTTAAAATTTGATAAAACGTGTATGTTGTTTTCTGTTTTTGTTTTATGAGTTGCAGTGTTGTTGGAGGGACTTTTCGGCATAAGGGTCATAGGAACAGCACTTGGCTTCAAACGTGCCTTTCCTGTACCTCCCGGTGTATGTGTGGAATCTACTTCTTAAAATGTTTAACGCACAGCAAGGCATTTCACTGCAGCTCTGCCCACAGCTGCTTTCGCAACGTTCCTTACGCGAAGGACATTGAGGCACGTTAAAAAATTAGTGGTATCTGCCTTATATTTAACACCACATGAAACACAACGCTTCAGGTGTTGCATTTTTAACACATACACTAAGTATAAACCGCACAACACTACAAAAATTCAAATGCAAATTAAAATTTGTTTTTAACGAATATTCAAAAAAAACAACGATATGACATTCAAAGCGTAACGAAATATAGGA